TAGGACTAATAGTGGGGTCCACGGAGTCGAATGGCTCTTGATGAGTGGGTGACTCAAAGGGAGGGTGGTGGGAATAGTCTATTTCATGTTCTGGGAGGGTGTGATTATGAATTGGGCTGGTGTCATGGTCAGGTGGTGTATTGGTAGTGGATTCTCAACATACAATGTCGTTTGATACATGTCGTCCAACCTCCTAAGTCATCGAACAAGAGAAAGGAAGGTTCAACTCATCTTTCTTTTCAAGACAAGATGTTGGGATCTCAAACCCCAAAATCAACGAAGGTAGAGGTGAAATATCTTATTGAAAACAAGCTTTTTAGAGTGGAATATGAAAAGGGAATAGACTATGCCCTAATTGTTACATAGAGGATAAAGTTTTACGGAATTTATGACGTCCTTGGAAGAATGCAGTAATAGTAAAAGTCATGTTTGACAAGCTAAAAAGAGTATGGAAGCCTTCTAGTGGTTTGGACGTGGTGGACATTAGCCATGGATACTACATGGTCAAGTTTGACATGGCATGCAATAGGGAGAAAGTGTTGAGTGGAGGATCGTGATTAATCTTTGACCATTATCTGATAGTGCGGGGTTGGTCTCCCAACTTCATGGTTTCAGAGGAGAAGATATGTCATACTCTTGTATGGATATGTTTCTCGTGCCTAGCTAAGGATAGAATATTTTGACAAGAATGTGTTGATGGCACTTGCCTCAGTAGTTGGTCAATCAATCAAAGTGGATATGATGATAACGAATATATCCAAAGGGAAATTTTTTAAGGTGTCTGTCGGGATCACTTTGGACCAGCCTGTGGTAGGGAGGGTTTGGTTTTATGATCACGAGTTCAATACAGAGTATGAAGGACTACATTTTGATCTATAAAGGATGTGGTTTGTATGGTCATACGACTACTAAAATAATAAGTGCAAGAATAAGGCTAATTTTGGTTCATTACAAGGATTAAGAGAGAATCAAGGATTTTGTGCTATGGAGATTTGTTAGTGGTTAAAACGGGTAAGCAGACACATAAAACAATTTTAAAGGAGAGGTGACTGTAGGGGGATTCAAGGGAGTGTTTGATCCACACACGTAATAAAAGTTTGAGTAAAAATCCTTTTATTTTGTTGGATAATGAAAGATATAAAGAAGAAAGAGGAGGGGCCAAGAGACAGCGTGGGGTGCATGTAGACCCTAGCATGATTGTGGCACAAAAAAATATATGGAAGAAGAATAAGAGATCTCGTGGGGATATGTTAGAATTAGAACACATGACAATTGTTGTTGACCCATACATGGAAATCGTGATCTCACCTGCATGGAAAAACCAAGCTCTAAGTTTGAAGGAATATAATTCAACATCTAGTGAAGGCAGAGAGGTAGGGTTACATACACATGCACATGAAGGGACGCACTAAAAGAGAGCAAAACAAATGGCAGACAAAGGTTGTGAATCAATGATTGATAAAATGGTTTCTTCTCTTTTCTTGTATATTCATGAAAGCAAAGCAGTATATTTATATATAACCTATTGCCTATGAAGGGACAAAAAAGAATAACAGAAAATTGCAGCAGAGGGTGAGGTGTTGAAACACCTAAATACAATACAGAATGTACTACCTAACAGAATATACAGCTGTATCAGGAAAAAGTAAAAAAAACTGTACAATATGGGCTTATGTATTTCTATTCAATTGGGCTGGAATTACTGGTTTGATTGAGCTGTTGTGGATCCTTTCGTTCTTCCTCTTTTAGCCCCTCACAAGCGGGAGGTTTGAAGATGTCAAGAAGCTCCAGCTTGGATAAATTGGAGTGAAACAACCGGGGAGGGAGCGCTTTAGTGAAAATATCTGCTAACTCATGTGATGATGAAACTGGTAAGAGGTGCATGAGACCAGCGAGTAATTTTTCACGAACGATGTGACAATCAATCTCTAAATGCTTCGTTCTTTCATGAAAGACTGGGTTGGCTGCAATATATAATGCACTTTGGCTATCACAATAGAGGACAAAACGCTTAGTAATAGGAATTCTCAAATCACTAAGGAGGAAAGAGAGCCATTGAAGCTCACAAGTGGCAGAGGCAAGTGCCATGTACTCTGCTTCTGCAGAAGATCGAGAA